ATGTAACATCATCATCAGCTCCCTAAGGGTCCCCACTAAAGGCTCCGCCTACCCTAAGTTAAGGGTGACTAGACCATAGTCAACTATACAGGTTGGTTAACTTCACACACTTCTTTGAAGTATATAGTATATAGCGCTAAAAAGAAGCTTAAATAAAAAATGTTACCTGAATCAATCATTTTATAAATGGATGCGATAGTTTCAATCTCGTATTTTAATGGCTCAATATGATGTAATATATCTAACAATGTCGGCATACAGTTCAACTCCTCTGACATGTCTTTACAATCCTCATACACTTCTGTAGCCAACAGACGAAAGTCTAACAGATACCGTCTGATCACTTCCCGTGCAGCCTTAAAGATGTAAAATAAATAACTTAATGAAAAGTGACGTCACTTTTGGTTTAATAGATACTAAATATCATAGTGTAGATTTTTTATATAATATGGTGGCAAAGCGGACATTTGGATTCACCGAAATAATGAAGCGACCACAGACTAAACATTGCACATGCATTGCCTATCTTTAGTTGACCGAGAAGGGGACACATAAGACAAATATCACTGTCCTATGTGTCCCTTCCTCTAATTCTATTTTCCCTACCCAACATTTTCTTATAAGAATAAGGTATAGTAGGTAGAAATTACTGATTTGCAATATGCAAAATACATCTCATTTAAAAAAAGAAATCTTGTGACACATTTATCTGGCAAAGGCAGAATTTAAGCAGGTACTTTAGCAAAGAATTACATTACATATAATATTATTTTTTGAATAAGTAATCCCAGTTATTTGGTAATACACTTTCGTCGGCTGACTCTTAAAAATAATTCTTACCTCATGAACAAGTCCTTTACTTTGAAAGTTGTCATCAACAGTTTGGTTGAATGCAAACTGACTTAACCTTTTGTAGTAAGTTCCAACAACGAGCAAATCTGACACATAACCCTTTAGGCGCTCCTTTGAAATTCCTTCAAGTACTAAATTTTCTTTCATATAAAAACAATTTGATTCTTCTCTAAATGGAAATGAACTTGTTTCAATGCCAACTAAAATGAATTTTGATTGTTAATTATATTTTTTAACACTTTCTTAGTATGTTTCCCGTTGGACCAATCAGCCTACCAATCATTGGCTCAATGAAAAAAAAAACGCATTGGGCTGATTGATTGCAATGCTAATCAGGCCATTGGGAAACACCATTTTATTGGTTTTAACTTACTTATTAAATATTTGATATGTCTTATAAATTGTTTCTCATTTATAACTTTTAAATGAGGTAGTTCTGTTTTATAAACTTTTTTCCATAATGCAACTTCTCTTGTTGATGTGGCAATTATCTGTCTTTCATTCACAAGTGGCATTTTTGCTGTAAAAAAATAATGAGATATCATTAAAAACCACCAAAAAAATTTACAATTTGACAATTTTTTTACGTATATAATATTTTTTAAGTAAATATTAATATAAAAAATTAAAAAAAATCATAGAATAAGCTCTAATTGATATATAACACATGATCTTGTTAATACATTTATGTTATGTTTCTATTTTTACTTACATACAATATTCCATATATTTGCAGGTACATTTTTATCAATTTGTGTAGCAATTTCCCAAATATCAACAGCATTTTTGTCAGCTCTGTACATTTCTTCCACCATACAATCAGTGTTCGATGATGGAAATGACACCTATCAAAAACATATACAAATTAATAGGTATTGTCTGCGACTCTGTCCACCCGGGATTAAAAAACTTAATTAGTAGCCTTTATGTTCTTCCATGTTCTACATCTATGCCAAATTTGAGTAATATCAATGTTCCGGAGATACCTTCTTACAAACATTCATCTATCCATCCAATATCCAAAAATAAAGCATGGTATAAAAGTATTTACTTTCACATTAGAAGCCAAAGATCCAATAGTACTGGGTATCTCCAAATCTCTTGGTGCTGTTAATTTGGGAATATTTAAGATATTATTATCTGTATATGATTCAATTCCAGTGGATGAATATGATCTCAGGGACTTTGGCCTCATAAATGATTTGATATCATGCATTCCTGGTACTTCAGAATTTGTTTTTTCTGGAATAACTGTAAATATCAACATTTTGAGTTAATAAAAATTCCTAATATGGATTATTATATAATTCTTATCATTATTCATGTAGTTATATAGTACATTATTTGATTAAATATTATTTTTTCATTAAAAAATATACATGTTATTTGTAAATGATCTATAATACATAGATTCAATTTCTTATAATAATATATTCACAAACAGGAGTATGATGCAAAAACTTGCAAACAACAATTATAAAATATTCTTACATGATTTAGAATCGAAACTCTCCACTGTATATGCTGTGTAGGATTTCTCATTATCCGGAACCATTGCTTGCTTTTTTATTGTAAATGGCAACTCAAAAATAAATGAAGGATAATATGAATAAGGTTGGGGTGAACCAAATGCATGTCTTGGTGGCTTTGGTAACATATCATCAAGGGCTCCAAAAGAGAAAGGTCTCTGAAAAATTATTTAAACCATTACTTTTGTAATAAATAACAATAGTTATATATCTGTATCTTACTAAGGTCGTACAAATAACAAAATAGCATTACCTGAAACATTTCCGTTTCCAAATCTGGCTTCCTTGTATTTTGTAAGCATAGGAGAAGTCTCAAAACATTTTGGAAATGGTCTTTGTAGTCCCCAAAATCGGTTTTATTTATCATATTAATTAGATTCTTCAATTCTATAGATCTCTTATATTCCGCCACATTGCTTGCGTTATGTTGTGCCACAAAACAATACGACAATAAGTCTACAGTGGGCTCGTTTCGTGAGTTCTGTATGCTTAAAGTAGACTTTTTCAAAATTATCTCGTAAGACAAGGATCTCATTTTAGATGCTAGAACAGTTTGTGATGTACGGCTACGAGAGGTATATGAGGAAGCAGTTTTCCGGCATAATTCAGAGATGAGCTCGTAAACTCCATTAGAACAATTTATGTCCATCATGTTTCTTAAAGTTTACTTTTCTGATTTAAAACTTTTAGGATTTTTAAATGTATACTCTTTTTAGCGACGCCATTTTTAATATTAGTAATAAATCAAGCTCTTTCGGGAATACAAAATTACAAAATCCTGATCCCGAAACAAAATAAACTTATTTGACATTTTGAGTTTGACATTCATGAATGACAAATGACATTAATTATGACATTTTGACAAAAATAGACCAAGAGTATATAAGCTACGTGTTAAAAGCACAGATTTAAAATTATTAAATTATGGGCGGTCCGGCCATTAGCCATGTCCCTTTGGCTTCATGATTTGTGTAGGACCAATTTATGCATAGATTTTCGATGTTTTATGTAATATTATCAATGCAGTGCAATAAATTATTATTTAAAAAGACTAATATTAAAAAATGTGAAATTCTTATGACGATAAAATAATCGATTTGACAGGGATGCAAAACGATTCAGTTTTAAAACATCGACTTAACCTCCTTTCTAGTAACCTAAAATCTCTCTACAATAATATGATATTTGTAGATACTGATTTTATACTTTGTAAATATTTACAGTATTAATGATTTTGCTGTTCATGTTATAAAGAAAATTTATATTTGTCTGAGTTTGCAAGATATAAAGATGAATCAAGCACAAGTTACCAAACTTGTTTCAAAATTACGAATAAATGTAGCAGCAGAGCCGCGTCGGCTTAGAAATCCCAAAGGATCCGAAGGCAGATTAAATAAATTACGAAAAACTGTTACTGGATTAATTAAATATGAAAGAATTGAGTTAAATTACAACCGAGGCGATGAAGCTCGTCAATATGCAGAAAGGGTAAGTTTAAATGATGCCACCAACAATTTGGTCTCGTATAATCATCATTGCTTAGATTCAGTATGTAAAGAGCACTTCAGAATTATAAACTAGTAGTAATAAATGCACGGATATGGATATTAAAAAAATAACTGATTTCTTTTTTTCCAGCTCATATCCGAGGCCATTACACATGGTGATTGTCACAAACCAACAATGGAAATAGCCGATTATTGGTTACTTGAAAAGGAACTTGTACATAAATTATTTAAAGTTCTGGTGCCAAGATATGAAAATTGTAACACAGCCTATACTAGAATGTATAAAGCACCTCGGCCACAATACAGTCGAAACACTGAAAAGGCTGTTTTAGAACTCCGTGGGAACCCATATCCTTCTCTAGCAAACAAACAACACAATAACAGGCACCTAATTCAAAATATTTTACTAGATGCTGCTAAATATGACTATAGACAAGCTAAATATGCAGAAATGGCTGATAAAATTGGAAGGTCGGAAGAACAAGAAGTAGAAAAATCAACCAAAATGGGGGACGCTGAAAATAATTCTAATGATGATTCTCCCAATAAGTAAACTAACTGAAGCTTTAAGTTTAATGTTATTTAGAAAATTTGTTGTATAGTCAAATAGGAGTAGAAAATATGAATTATAATATTACTACTAATTTGTATAGATGTTTTATTTACTTGATTCGAAAATCATAACCAAAATTGCACATGGTAATTCAGGACATTCAGATGTTCAATTGAACACCTGAATATCCTGTTTACAAATGGGACTTGTCCAATTTGTAATTATTCCATCTTTGCCATAAGGCCATGGGTCCGATCAGATTTTCTCTAGCTTTGCTAAGCACTAAAAAGATTTTATCAGAAAGATGAAGACTGATTACAACCATCTGGAAACAACCAGAACTTACAAATACATTTATAGACTGAAGTAAAATGAATAAAAATTGTGATGTAGTAACTTGTCAGTCAGTTTTTGACATATAATAGTTATCAGAAATCTGGTAATGAGTGTAAGTAGGCATGTCTCATGTTAGAAAGACTGACAGAGAAAACCTTGAAATGCCACTACGTTTTGATAAAAATTACAGAACACTTCACAAAAAGCATACTAATTTTAATGACATATGATGTTATTTACAGTTGTTAAAAAAAAAACCGGTGTCGGTTACTCGATGTTGCATTTTTAATAGACTAATATCTCGGACCAAGTTTAAAAGGCTATTCTTAATCTGAGACGAAAATGGACTATTGTAGCTTGAATGTATGACTCAAATTCAATTTACAATTGGTGATTAAGAAAAGTGAGGTTATATCTGCTTATTTGATAAGGTAGTAGATCGTATCAGTCAGTGACTGACGCTTGTTTAGAAGTTTAAGCAAGTGTAATTGTAATTGTGTAAGTGTATTTCAATTTTATTTTATATGCTCTTTGATTTTATTTAATTTTATATTTTTGCAGATTTTTCATTAATTATTTAAAATGAATACGGGAGACGAAAAAAGATCAAATCATAAAATTGTGGTTGTAGGTTCGTCTAGTGTTGATTTTACAACGTAAGTATAATAATAAATAGATTTGTTACTAGTGTTTGAGTATATGCTCAAAGTCACGAATATGTACAAAATATTCAGACATCTTAGATATGTTACAGGTACGCTCCTAGGCTTCCCAATCCTGGAGAAACGCTTCATGGATATAAATTTGTAACTAGTTACGGTGGAAAAGGAGCCAACCAATGCGTGGCTGCAGCTAAACTTGGAGCTAATACATATATGATAAGTAGAGTATGTTTATTGGATATCAATTGTCCTTGCAACGTGTTTAAATATAGAGACCGGCGCAATCTTGTTCGTTGCATGTTTAATTAACCGACATCTTTATGTTCCTTTCAGCTTGGAGATGATAAATGGGGAGTGGAATATAAAAAGTATTTAAAAGAACTAGGCGTAGATGTTCGTCACGTTACATTAACATGTAATGTATCAACAGGCATTGCTCAAATTATGGTTGCAGAAAACGGAGAAAATCAAATAGTAATTGTCCCAGGGGCTAACAACCATCTTAGCTGTATGGATATTAAAGCAGCAGAGGATAAAATAGAAACAGCCGATATTATCATAGGTCAATTGGAAACGCCACTTGAGTCGACACTCGAAGCTTTCAAACGTTGCAAGGGCGTATGTTTTTTTAATTTATATTCTAGCAACTCTATTGATGTTTGCCATAAATATTGAATAATGAAATTAAACTTTCAGCTGAAATTGTTTAACGCTGCTCCAGCTATAAAAAATACTGAATTTATATTTCCCTACTGTTCAATTCTATGTCTTAATGAAACAGAAGCTTCTTTATATGTTGGCTTTGCAGTTGACCTTACGTAAGTTAAAAACATGGTAAATTTAAGTTAATTTACTTGTACCTATTTTTTTAATAAACATGTAATGTACTGTTTCAGGAACGGCTCATTGGCGTTGAAAAAAATTTTAGAATCAGGATGTGAAAAGGTTATAATAACTCTCGGAGATAAGGGAGCCATTTATTCCTCAAAACAAGATAGCAAATGTATTCACGTCTGTTGCGAAACAGTTGTACCCGTAGATACAACTGTAAGTACCTACTTACATCAGAATATTTAACTGTATACCCGCTCTATTGTTATTTATATGAAAAAAATTAACGCTTTTTTTGTAAAAAAAACAGGGAGCAGGTGACGCGTTTGTTGGCGCTTTAGCAACTTATTTGGTAACTCATAAAGATTACCCTCTACATCAAATTATTGGAGCGGCTTGCGCAGTTGCTACTATGTCAGTTACCAAAGAAGGGACTCAAACTAGCTACCCAACAAGATTTGATGCTTTCGCTAAGGAGTACGAATATAAAGAATTGTAAAACTTAATTTACTAATGTTATTTCACCTTAGTTCCTATATTTCGTTTGCATCAAACCACTAAACAAACACATATTAAAAAAGTTTTATAAAGTATTAAGTAATAAAAACAAAATATTTGAAAGCAAACGTTTATTATTACTTAAATGTAAATAAGTTACACATCTCCAAGGAATCTAAACAAACTATTGTAAGATAGAAATATAAGCAAATAGTAAAATGCAACTTAACCAAAATTGAAAAAAATACTTAAATCCGATCAAAAAGGGATTAAGGCTACTTCCGTAGAAACAAAAACATTGGTTAAGTTTCTTTGCTTGCTATATTTTAACCATGTATTTCGAGCGTTGATTCTTTAACCCACCGATCTAGTCGCAGGTGAATGACAAATACGTTTTCACCATTTACATAAGTGCTTTTCTAATGTTGAAATAGTAAAATGCAACGGCTTATCGTGCATACCTTAATAAAGCTTTTCTTTGTCGTTTGTGTGCTAGAATTGTATTTATTCTTTTTATCAAACAATTTGTCTACGAGTCGTAATAAATGGAGAGTTTTATTGATACTTAGGATCATTGCTCATTTTTCCCCTTTTTATATAAAACAATTATTTCATAATCTAATAATTCAAAGATTCTATAGATTTATAGACTATTTTACAATTAAACACGCTTAATATACAAAATGTTAAATATATAAGGTTTTCATTATGTGGTCAAAATGACCATATGTCATAAACCACATACAGAACAAAATCAAACACTTTCAAGTAAGACAAATCAAAGCATATTATTATAAGTAAAACTATACCTACTATATTCTGGATTCGTGAAGATGTAATTAAACGTTACGTGAGATATCGCAATAACGATCTTTCAACCTTACTCGATTCTTAAGTTTAATTGCATCTGAAGAATCCGATTGATACTAAAGATATTTAAAAATAAATGGTAGATTTCTCGTTGGAAATAATTATCCAAATCGATGTAACTTTACATGTAACATTTAAGGAGACATAAAAATAAACAATATTTTACCACTAAATCTTCTATGTTAAAAGTACAATTTAAGCACTGTATAATATAGTTCAATTAAGTTATATAATGTGATATTCAATCGTGTTACTACAATTATAGTGGAACCATGTATTTCCTAGAAAATAAAGGTAAAAAAGTTTCGCTGAATAATGTGGGAAAAATTCTAAATTAATGTAGCACTATTAATTACGATAGTGTTATGTTTATTTTATGGTACAAACAGAAATTGACATTATTTTAATAATTAATTCATAAATAATAAATAGAATATTTGATATCGAATTCAGTTCTGCGGAAGGTTCATATTGAAGAAAATTCTACCCCTGCAGAATTTTAATTTAACACAAGGGCGTCGCCAAGAAAATTTAAAAGAATTAAAAATATATAAATCATTTCGAAATTCTCAGATGCCTACAATCCCCATGGATAACTCAAAAACTAGTTATTTAATTAAAAAATTGGACCTCATGTTGATGAACATGTGGAATTTGAATCCTCCCTTGATAATCAGCTGGCGGCGCTCTTATTTGATCCGAGAAGAATCCATCATGACCACATTTTATCTATGATTGAGTATTATCTGTGTACGATTTACTGAGACTTTAAAAATATCTTGTTCGGTAGTTTTTCCGTATGTTACTAAATTTGCAACACTGACTTTTGCGACAAACTTTTTCAGAAACGCCGAAAGAAGATATTTAGGGCTTTATGGTTAGTGTTTAAATAATAACCAAAAGCTAAGAAATTAAGGTTTTTCGTAGAATTATAAACAGTTTTCGGCCTTTAATTTAAAGCGTTGTATGTATCCGTAAATCATTTTTTTACTCTCGTCTTGTATTTAAGTATTTATTGTAATCGTTTAATTTGTACTGCCTTTTGATTTTTTAGACATTTTTAAATAACAAACAACTTTTGAAACAAAGCTTTTGTAATTTAATCACCACAAATTTTCTACGAGGCGTCGCTGATGTTGATTTAATGTTGCCAGTTAAATTAAAAGTGGGTATATGTACAAATACTTAGAACAGTAATGCAAGTTAAATTTAAATGGTTTTCCAGCAGTTTACCTTAATTAATTTCAAGGGCTAATGTTACATTCTCCAATTTGATTATTTTTATATTGACATTTCGACTGTGACATCCAGTTTATAAATTTTATGAGCGATGTTTAACCTTTGGAAAAACAGTGCGCAATATGATTAATGTATTTATTTTTTACATAATTTTGTATTTGGTCCTAAAATATCACAAAAGTAAATAGCAGAATCCTTGAAAATACTTCGATTTTAACATGCGCTTAATGTGGTAGTTTCAATTTTCGCAACTTTATCTGAAGTGTCGCCATACATCTTTCGCATCTACCCCCAAATCATATTTATAATTATGGAATAAATCTTTGCATTTACAAAAACATCAGAACAGGGAAGATCTGAAGAGATTTGTTTGAGACCATTACCTACTATTATTTTGTTACTATATTTTAAATTATTATTATTTTTTGACTTTAGGACACTACAATATTTCAAAATTACATTTTGTAATTGTTTTGTTCTCACCTGTACCTTAACAATGACTACAATAGATAAAAAGCAATTTTTTATATTTCACACATTAAGATCAATATATTCTATTTTAATTTCATTAAAGATAGAGAAATAAATACAAAAAACTACCGAATTGCTAAAATGCATGGTTTCATCTAGATATTTGTGAATAAGTTTATATTACTTACCTCGTGTTATGTTTACCTTTTAATATATACTCTTAAAATTACAACTAGCATATTTTATGTGGATTAACATCAGCTCTATGTATTACATTTAGTACATACATATGCCTATTTTTTATAAGTTTCTTTGTAATATTTTTTTCTTTAATTTTTTTAATGCTAAAGAGTCAATGGAAATAGCTTTTAAAGCAACAATAAAAAAATTACAATATAGTAATGCAAAATCTTAGTCTAGAAATATTCTAGTCTTCTATTACCTGTCTGTTTAACTTGAAGTAAAGGTGGTCATGAGGATCTAGAAACAGATATTTTAGTAATAATCTATATAATATATATTATAGAAATATTGTACAATATATTTTTATTCAAAATTGAATAATCAGTTGTATTGCGAAGCAATTTTCTCTTAATTTATTTATACATTAAATCTTAGACTTTTTTCACCATCAATTAATTAAATTCAACATTTAAACAAAATGTTAACAATACCCTATTATCAATGCACATAAATACAGTAAACGTCCAAGTGTTTGATCTGTTGATAAACAATTCAGTGAAAGACATACAAGCTTCCTAGTTCACTTTCATTCACAATTTGTAGTAATACTTGTAAGTCTTCTAAGCTTGAAATGTATTTAGGTGCTCCAATAAACTCAACAGGTTTTCCCTCTAGCTCAATGTTATATTTTAAATTTTTCGGACATGTGACTGACTTTAAACATTTGTTATCTAACATTTTTTTAAACACAACATGTGTTATATTTGTTCTTTCGGGAATAGAAATGGTGACATTTTGTTCAATTGTATCAGATACATTTTCAACTACATTCACATCAAGTTGAGTCAATTTTAAGTCATTATGAGGAATGCTTTTATTGTCTTCCTTACTATCACTTTCCACGGGATTACTCACTTCTGAAGAATCTGTCTGCTGATTTTCATTCGGTAAATGTTCTTCAATACCCTTTTTTAATGCCTCATCAAGTATTGAGGGACTGTTTGGATTTATTAAAGTATCAGATAGTTCAGTGAATGGTTTTTCTTCAGATTTTACCAAACTCTCATCTTTATCCTTACTACTGTCAGTGATATTGTTAAATTGATCCATATCTTCTATTAGTTTGCTGACATCAGAGCTGTCAACCTCCATTGCAATTGGTTCCGAGTCTTTTTCAACATTTGTTTTTCCTAAAAGCATTGCTTCTACATCATTTGATTGTATGTTGTCTTTAAATGGTTCAGAACTACTCTGTTCAATTTCCTTTTGAACAGTTTCCGGGTTTTTTTCTGTTACATTGTCATTTAGTATATCCATTATAGAAGGAAATTCTTCAGCCTTCACTTCAGACCCTTCTGATTTTAACTTTTCTATTGGTTTTTCATTGTACATTAAGTCTTCTAATTCTGCAGCTATGCGATCATATACTTTATCATCTTTGGGTTCTTCATTTTTAGGAAAGTAGTCCATGTGCCAATCTTCTGATGGCAATATACTTTTATTTAGATTAGGTAATAAATCAAGCAAAGATAATTTGTTTTTCAAATCATTATTATTGTTGTTGTTGTTCATTGTTGGGGAAGTAAATATAATTCCATATTCTTTTAAGCCCGAACTCACTTGTTTAACATAGTTGCAGCTTTTATCACTAACTAACTGTTTTGACAATCCATTATTTTCCTTAAGTATGTTATTTGGAGGATGAGTCTTTTTAGATTCATCACATTCGGGAATTACTGAATCTGTATCGACGCTAACTTCATTTACCTTTGGATTTTTCGGGGTCCGTAATGCTTTTGTAGGCTGCTTTTTGTAGCTATTCTTTGGAGTAATTCCATTCTCACTGCACTTTGACCTAGAATTTGTATTTACCGAAAGAGAGTCGACATTCTTTTTCGGCTTGGATGACGAACTACTTTCATACTGAATTTTTACTTTAGTAAATTTACCCAGGATTTTAGCGAAGTCCATTCGAGTCACAAGAACTCTACATTCTCGACATTTTCCTTCTCGATATAAACGTTCTAAATTTCTGGACATTTTGTAAATACGTCCTCTTTTACTTTCTCGTCCTTTAAATGAAATCATTGTTAAAATAACCTAATAAAAACACAAATATACCAAATGTTTTTCTACAGGCATTTGTATAGGATTAAAAGAAACGTAGAAACATTTCCCGCGCAGACGATATCACTGTGAGTGTATTAGACACTTTTTTAAAACTTAGCTATCCACAAAGCTTGAGTTATCAAGTTCCAAATAACTAGGTTATTTTAGGTGTAAAACTTTATTTAAATTTGTTTTACCAGAAATTAAAAACGACAACGTCGAGAAACAATACTTCATACAAGCGAAAATGGCGTCGCAATAGTGATGTGATCGGCATCGACATGACATGAATATTTGAAGTGCGAAGTCGATTTCGATCAAAGTTCGATGTTTTCATATGTTTTCAAATATTTGACACGTTGACATGTTTTTGTCATTAAAATTAATTTGAAAATTAAAATTGATCCCTTATTAATTTACAGTCTTGTAGTATACAACTTTTGTTTATAGTTTTTGTTGAGTAAATTTAATTTACTATAATTAGTGATTCACTATGATTTTGGACGATATATGAATATAAGAGATTCATAGTGAAAATATTGAATCAGTAAATTTTATAGATTATGCGAAACCTGTCATGACTCCAGTGTTGAAGTTGGAAATTTAAGAACTTCGGCTTCGTCGAAGGAACAATGTCCCGTCCTCCTATTACGTCCAAAACTATGAAAAATAACTAGCTTATATGAAGGTTGTTCAGGTATGCATTTAGATACAGACAGCGGGTATCTTTTAATTTTAGGTTTTATTTTTCTTACACTGTTTAACTTTTTTTTTAAATTAAAACTAGTAGTTTAAAATAGACATACTACATATTATATCAACACAGTATTATCTCTATAGTCAATGCATTTCAAACTTATGTCGATATTGATTTCAGTAATAGAATAAAGTTTACTATGAGTATTTTCACAAAAATGGTCGCGATAGCCAAGGACATATTATTTAGGGATGACTAGGTAATCACACCAGCCTAGTGCGGGTTGTATTATTCTTATCAACCGCTAAATATGGTTATCAAATAATATTTGTAGAATGTAGCATTTAATACGTTACTGAATATAACATTATTTTGAATAGTATTTGATCAGACTTATACTCAATTACGTACGGTGATGAAGCGTCCTTAAATTATTACTCTTGATTTTAAGCTTTCAAAATAGGCCAACGTATTTACTGTCTTATTTAAATTTCCAAAATTTTAATATCCCTTCAGGGAGTCGTACAATAAAATCCTTTTGAAAAAGAAAGAAATTGAAAATTATTTTTTTGTAACTCGTACCATTTTTTTAAAACGATAGTAATTCAAATCGAATCAAAAATTTCGAAATTTTACTTGAGGAGGACATCTCTAATGTACCACAGACATTTTACATAAGGTTTAAAAAGCTAGCACCAAAGAGTGTATAAAGCAGCAAAAACAAAGTTTTTTTTTTCTATGACACGCCACTCTATTCAAAGATTGTAAAATGTTTTTATCTGTGATGGTACAACATGGTCCAAAAAACTTAAAAACTTTAGTTAAGATGGCGGTATTATTGTAATGATTAATTGTTTAATTATGCGTATTGTTAATGAGAATATATTTTCTATTGAATAAGGAATATTCTTCCTGCTAAATTAAATAATTTTGATACAAAATGTCTTGGCCAGTGCCATCTGGGTCCTGGAATGCCGGAGTTCCCATGACTTCGAATATGAACATGGGGTATACGCCTGATCAATGGACTCTAATACAACAACAAAATTGGCAACAGTGGGCACAATGGCAACAACAATATGCCCAGTGGCAAATGCAATATGGAGACAAGGTTAGGTTTTGTTTTTGATTGTAGTAAACTCTTTTCTTTATGTTTATATACCTAAACATTATGCATCTAATAGTAATGGATTAATTTATTAACTTTTCTTATAGTATACGGAGCAAATGCAGACTGTACCAGCAGTGGGCTCTGGCCCTCCTTTACCTCCAGTTAATTGTGCACCCCCTCCTGCGCCCCCGCCGCCCGATCAACCTCCTCCGCCACATAAAAACGACAGGCCTCTCTATACTCCTAAACCTCCACCACCATCAAACCCTCCAAGTAATCAAGATAATATAAATAATACAAAACCAATGGACAGTAATACCCAATCTTGGGCTAATGCTGCAGACAGCCGCAATACTTCCCAGAATTCCGAGGCTCTTAAAAAATTATTAGAGGAAGAGAGATTGTTTGATATTCAATTTCATAAATGGGAGGAAGAAATTGAAAAATGGAAAGCAGAAAATGTTAATCATCCTGATAAACAAGCATACAGTGAATATGAACAAAAATTTGAGGCTTGCCGGGCACAGCTGTTAGAGAGACGTCAACAGATGAAACAAAAGCGAGCTCGATTAACTGGAATGCCCCCTCCGGCACTGAGTAATACAAGTTCAATCAATAATGTTCAACTAGTTCCTCCACCGCCACTAACCCCAAATCCTGGAAATAATTGCCCTCCAATTGACGTACAAACACAAAAACCTAATATTAATCCAGATATAAACTATACTCGCCAAAGTCATAACTTGGAACCTAATCAATACCAACATTATGAAGAAGCTCAACATTCTTATAATAGTGATAATTATGGACAAGTAGGTCTAGTACACACAAATAAGTCTTATGAAAATGTTGATCCTTATTGCTATCCTAGTATGGAACAGTCAAAATTTATGCCTACAAATGAAGCTTCCAAAGGTATCCCAGGATTAGACTTGATTCCTGAAGATAAACTGTCAAATAAATCTCAAGATATTATAGATATAACTGGGGAAAAAATTGCAGATAAAATAGGATTACATTCACAAACTCCAGATTATACTACAATTTCTAAAGGTATAAATAATATATTGGGTGATGAAAAAATTATGAATATTCTTTCAATGGTTTGTCAAAAAGCTAGTGATCCTGTTGGTAATCAATTCCAGAGTAATGTGGAAACAGCTAACACTTACCAGTACAATAATTCCGATTTTGGTAAAAGGCAAAATATGTCCTTTAATCAGGGATCTAATGATTCTTACAACAGAGGTAATGGGCAATTTGTACAGAGTCCTTACAATCAAGTTCAGAAGGATTTACCAATTGATCAATATTATGGAAATTATTCTCAAAACAATATACCACCACCACCAAGAAATCAAATTAATGCAATGCCTTTAGGCCACCCTTTACAAAGTCAGCCTATACAGAGTAATATTGATAATTATCCAAGTGTTCTTCAGGAAGGAAGAACTGTCCCTGATCATCCAGTACTTTCAACTCCACCCCCTGTACCTAGGTCAAAGTGGATTGATCAACCTATGTTTACACCGTCAATTATTGTTGAATATGAACACAAGCCATTGAGACTGAAAGGTAATTAATTAACATGTTTGTTATGAAAGTCAAATAAAATTCATCCATAAAATTTTAGCATAACTTAAAAAAAAATTGCCATCTAGTTTTTTCCATTAGCCTCTATATTTTTTTAATAAAATTGTTTCAATTGAAATAGACTAATATTAAAATTTTCATAAAATTACATAAACCTTGTAGAAATATTTGTAAATATTTTAACACATATGTTCAAGACTACATTTATTCCAGTGCTAATAATTTACTTGTGATTTTTTAAACTTCATTTTAGCTCGTGATTTTATTGAACCTGTGCACATATTTGAGTACAACCATAAATCAAAGTATGGTGAAAGCAAGAAGAAAGATTTTGAAAGGGAAGCAGATGAACTATTTGTAAGACATCCACGGTCTTCTAATGTTGATAATTTTCCATCTGATAGAATGAGCCGGGAACTTTATCACAGGGATTATGAACGAAGACCTAGAGAAATTGTTAGAGAACCATATAGACCTAGACCTCCAATGCGAGATGTATATGACGATAAGCGTAGGAATGATGTTAGATTAGATGATTGGAGATGTGATGATTCTGATAAGTTTACTCGTAGAGAAGACTTTTATAGAGATAGAGAAAAAAGTAGAGATGAATTTAAGGATAGATACAAAGATTATAGGAGGGATGAAAATAGAAATCGTAGTAGGAGCAAAGAAAAAGAAAACCGGAAGAGAGATCACAGCAATGATGATGATAGAAATTTTACAGCTAAAAAAGGAAAAGAATCTGTAGAAAATAAGGAGGCAGTTAGAGCAAAGCATGTTGTAATGATAGATGACATATTAGAACCTCCAGGACGGGAAATGAGACCCAAGAAAATTGCTATAATTTTAAGAGGTTTGGAAACAATTTTGTAATATTTAAAATTGGCAATTATTTGACAAGCATGTTTTTTAATATATTTTTTCCTTATTGTAGGGTTGCCAGGCAGTGGTAAATCATATTTGGCTAAATTGATAAGAGATAAAGAAGCTGAACATGGCGGAACTGCAAGAATAATGTCAATAGATGATTACTTTATGCAAGAGGGAGAAGTTGAAGTCAGTGATCCAGTCACAGGCAAAACTGTAAGTAATGTAAAAATTCATGGACATTTATGTATGTTTTTGTGTATGTAACTTTTTATGTATGTAATTTTTGGTTTGTTATACATTTTAGATTAAAAAACCTTCATTAAAATATGAATATGAAAAACACATGGAAGAAAGCTACTTGAATTCACTAAGGCGAGCATTCAAAAGAAGTATTACGGATGGTTATTTTACGTTTATAATATTTGATGCTGTGAATGAAAGTTTAAAATGTTATGCTGATGTTTGGAACTTCTCCAGGCAGCATGGATTTCAGGTAACTCTTTATAACATCAAAATTAGTTTATTAAACATCTTGTTATCACTGTTTTGTCAAATATCTCGGAAACCAATGAACTTCTAATGAGACGAGGTTGTTATTTGTTTGTATTGTTTTTTCCAGGCGTATGTTTGCACCATGGAGGCAGATGTAGCAACGTGTTACAAGAGGAACATTCACAATCGTACATTGGAAGATATTGAACAGCTAAAAGCGAAGTTTTTCCCCACACCGATGCATCACATACAGCTGGACCCGACCACATTGTTGCAGAGTGCCGCTATCACTGATGTGCAAATGGAAGACGCTGAAGATGCAGTCACTACGGAGGATGCTGTGGAAGAAACGGAGGTGAGATATTTATAAACATTTCCAGGTATTTTCCAGCAAATGTCTGCTTCTACAATTTACCTATGATTATTATAATTTATTATGCTTTTTTATACATGTTTAAAAATTTATCTTTCCGTTTTGTTTTGCCACCAATATTCCCAGATTACCCTATATTTTTATTATGTTTTGTAATTATGTGTATTAGATGTTATAGTATGGATAGGGTAACAGATTTTATTTCAGCGTTGTAACTAAAACGACAGAATTGTAACACAGGTTGAAAATCTTTTTACATCGAAATGGGAGAAAATGGACGACGCTGTCAAACTAGGTAGGTTTCTGATATGTCATTTTATTTATGGATATTATTTTTTTTTCTCACGCGATTATCTTATATCATTCGCCTTGACAGGGCCTTTCACATTTTGTTGTTTATTTTTAAATATTGTAGATTTGCATATTTGTATTATATTGAAGATATATATGTATATTTAAGTAATAGAAATAGAAAAAAACATTGAACATTCGATTAGCAGTATATTATAACTAGGCGTCGCCCACGACTCCGTCCGTGCAGAAATAAAAAAAACTTAACTAGTATACTATGTGTTCTTCCCGACTATGTTTTACATCTATACCAAATTTCATTGAAGTCTATGTAGTTCTGGAGATAATATCTAATAAACATCCATCCATCCAATCATTCACTGTTATATTATTTGTTTGAAATATATGACAGAATGTTGATTTGTTTGATAAATTGTTTCAGCGCGGCTCGACGGCACCAGCAAACCTCTCCGGCCATCGCAACTCTCCATGGAAGACTACCTCCAGATAGACGAATGGAAACCAAACATTGCAAAGCCGGGGAAGAAAACTGTAAGTACATTTTCTAATTCTTTATAACCTTTCTCATTTATTTTGGGTCAATTTTGAAATTTTTTGTGTGTGAAACGGCTCCGGGATGATTTTGTTTTAGACTTACACCCAATAGGTGTTTCGGTTACCAGTACAAATGGGTTCTAAGTTTTTATTGAGGTTGTAGACGAATAGCGTTTAGTTAAGATTTACTCCGCTTGTTTAAAAAAAGCTATATATTTATTTTGACATCATTACGTCACAGTTTTTCATAGCAAGTGATGTACGCAATAATTTTTTTTTAAGTATTTTTAATAATCCAATATTTTAGTTCTTTAATATGCTATAGTGATGACGGAAAATTTCGAACATACTTTTTCGACACCAAAAAATCGGGTTTTATGACTTTTATTGCATCCTACTTTGTTACTTTATAACAATGAAATAAAAAAAATAATTTGGTAATTTGTTTATGGCTGTTACAAGGTAAGGCGAATCGGTTAGTTTTTAAAACATAATATCCTAAGACATTCAACATGTTCTAAGCTTATTTACACGTAAATGATTCTCGTAATCGGCAAATAAAATATTTAAATCCGTTTGTAAATTTTATATTAAAAAAAAGGTGAGTATGTTGAAATTTTTATATTGTTTTTTATCGTATTGTAATGTAAAACAGGTGCGTTGGGCAGATATAGAAGAGAGAAGACAGCAAGAGAAAATGCGAGCTATCGGATTTGTTGTCGGTCAGACCGATTGGAATCGGATGACTGATCCGACAATGGGTTCCAGTGCGCTTACACAAACTAAGTACATTGAGCGAGTGCGACGCACATAATGTAGTTATACATGTTACATACTTCCAGATACATAGTCATTTAACACGTTCAATGCTACCAACTAATCCTGCGAGTTTATTTTATTATATGAAAAATTATAATGGTATTGAACGTGTTAAAAATCATAGGAGGGCGACTTTGCACAATCCTGTGTATTGCTGACATAAAAAAATGCCGTTATAACCTTTTTATTGTTTTTTTTGATAGATAATAAATATATTAAATTCTCTCATAATAATTAAAAGTCACCTTTTAACTTAAATTTTTATTAAAAATGTATTTTGAGTATATATTTATGTGCTTGTTTAAAAAAATGGGTACATTTCCTATCTATCTTCTATACAATTAGTTCAATTGTGCAATTTTTAAAATTAACATGTTTGATTAGGATTAAAAAATTCACAATTACGCTGAAAATTATCTTATCCATTATATATTTTACTGAATAAAAAAACTCACAAAATAAGCTTCACATATAATATTAAGAATTTATATAAATAGAGATGCTTTTCCAAGTTAATCTTTTGTTTGTCAACATTTCCCAAATGTTGGTGGATGCAGCTAACCTCAAAAGATTTTTTTTACATTTTTTTAAGGCAAGTAACATATTAGAATAATTGTTAATTTATGTTTTTAAACACTTTATAAGTAGCATTGAATAAAAGCATAGGGAGAATTAATCAAGCAATTTAATTTGATTTAAACTCCTGCAGTATTTTCATATTTATTTTTTAACACTTTCCATGCCACAATTTTTTTGTTTGAAGTGATCTCGCGAACCAAGTCTGTGGCACTGAACTTGTTATATTTGTTTATTTAATTTATTAACTCAATAGGACCAATCGGATTTAGCAATATTTGGTATATTATATTTCATAACACGTGTTGTGTTTATGCAGTTGAACAACAAATAAATACACAATAAAGCAACATTAGCAACAAAAATTAGTATAGTTTTTAAGGTAAGCTAATTTTTTAAAAATTAAGATATATTTTTTTTAGGATTTCTGCTAGAAAGGCCGTGATTTTTTAATAATTAGATAAATATTGATGCATTTTTGAAACAGGAGCTTCATGACATCACTAAAATGATGTCTATGTTATTCAAATATTATAACTAATGTTGATAAATTAGTAGTAACTTTATCTCACATTTAGTCGATTTATTAGTACTAATAGTTAACATTTATGGTCTTGATACCAACATGAATTATATTCTATAATAAGTCTACTGATTTGTCAGTGTAACGAAAGATTGTGATGCATGTACTTTAAAATTCATGTTTGTATATAATTGGTATAATTAAACGGTATTCTTTACATTGTTTTTTTTTATTTCAATACACCTTAAGTACGCGTCCATTAGCCCGATCCGGACGCGCCGCACGCACGGCCCGCAAACTGATTTTAATTTTACATAGCGTTGCGTTCGTTATCCGCGCCGCCCGCTTCGTAGGCCGTGTGTGCGGTGCGTTCGTCGTAGACCTATGGACCCGTACCTTTACGGGAATCGAACTGCTTACGTTGAACTTTTGAAAAAACCTAGTAATCGGTATCATCGTGAAAATTTCCGAAGATTGAACTTCGACCGCCGTGATTTTTAAAAAAGTTTTCCTTTTGCGCGACGTTTTGTGGTCGAGGTTCTGCGGTTTTTATTTTCATCAAAGTTTTCGTCGGCGTTTCTTTAGTGTTTTGATTTTCGAACGCGTCGTTGTCGTCGGTTGTTTTTCTTTTATTCAAATTTGACATTTCCGTTTGAGAATCGTTTTCGTCGTTCGATTTACCGGCTTTGTCTATTTTGCTGGTGTGCGACGATTTTGCGATATTGTCTTCGCCTTCTTTTCCCGCGGTCATTATCATAATTTGTGGAGTACCCATGTTTGTCATGTGGTCCTTCAAGCACTGTTGCAGTATATGCAGGAAGAATAGAAATGCGAGTAGCGTTAGGGCGGACATTGCTGCGTTGCTTTTGTGACCAGCGCCTAAGTGATGACTGAAATTTTTTTTATAAATCAATTTATTAACAGTGTCTAATGTTATTCGACAATTTTATATTACACTACGGCAATGTTTTTAATTTGAATTCTTTAAACGCTGTGCACGAATTTCGCCATCAAAAGTGTTTGCGTTTTTGGTTTATTTGAACTATTGCGTACTATACAGACACGTTTATTGCCTTTGTTTTAGAAACAATTTGGCTTCGTTTGAGTATTGAAGGAATGGACAAAATAAAAACATGATAAGGGTTTTATCGGCAATAAATTCTACTGCATAGATTCATTCAAGTCTACTGCTACTGAAAATTTGTTATTTCGTTAAAAACTATTACTTACTGTTTAGTGGAGACTCCATGACTGTGTGTTGGTGCAGACGGGTCATATGCGTAAAATAACGGCTGATCATGCATGGGCCCCGTGAATTCTGTATACCTAAAATAACATTTTTACAATAAGCTAGGCCTTTTTAATACTGTTATATAGACTCCAAGTAGAGATAGCGTAAGTACTTAAAATACGTTAATTCTAAGGTTCAGCTTTATACAGAAGGAATTCAAATGTCATCGCACGAATTTTTAGTTTTCTGTAATACGTTTTTTTCGGTAGTTGTGAAAAATAATAAAAAAAAATACCTGTCAGTAAGTTTTGTATCCAAACCCATTCGGGATAGAAAATTATCCAATGCCATTGAAATGTCACTGACGTCAAGTTGCGCGAATGCTATGGATCCAACTGAATATCTTAGTAGGTTGGATCGTGATTTTCTTTTACTTATCCCATTATTGCGCTCTACAAAGTTGTGTTCCATAAGATATGTCAAGCGTACGTTTAACGGTATCTTGTACTTGATGGTTGTCTCCGAGGCGAAATAAAAATGTTTTAAATTTAACATTTACGAACTATACAACGTGATTACAACAAGCACTTTTACTTTAATAATATTCTTCTTCTTCTGCTAGCTCTACAGCCCTTTGTGGGCCTTGGCTTGGTCCAGCAACTTTTTCCACCTCGGTCTATCTTCCAGTTCTGCTTCCAGTTTGCTATGCCCACTTTTTTTGCGTCCTTATTAACGCCGTCTATCCATCGGAGCTTTGGTCTCCCTCGACTTCGACGACCTTCAGGATTATAATATTGACCACTACAAAATCGTAAAGTTCCAGTAACGATATATATTTGGTATTCGGTGTCCTTGGTTTAGCTTTAATAAAATCTTTTCCATAATTTAAAGTGGGATATAACATTTAATATTTCACTTTTTTTCTGTCAAGGAAGCGACGATTACTTTATGATTGTATAGACCTCGATATCATCTGTTCTTTTTACTTCTTTATTTTCATTGACTCAAACTTATAGCTTTATAGGTTTGAAGAAATGACAGCATTACCTGCTCTTTGACGTATGTCATCTTTTTTAGGGTTGCTAATTTTAATTACAAAGTGGTTACAAAATAAAAGAAAATGTTTATATAAATTAATATTTTATTCAACAATCACAATCACACAAGGACGTCCTCAATCATACATGATCACAAAAATATACACATAATATTCATAACTAAACTACAAGGTGATATAATGTTTTTTTATATCACACAATATTAAATTTTACATCAGTCGTTATTACAAAATTGGCGAAATTGCTGGTTTAAATGCCAATTCACTTTCATTTTGAACTCATTTACCGGACGGAATTTTGATGCCTTTGCCTTTTTTCACGTAATACTTTGTAATGCCTATGTAATTAACCTACAGAATAAGTTAAATAAATAAATAAATTAAATCTTAATAAAACACTACACATGACATTCTTTATAAAATGTGCGTTGGGATACTTGCACAAAGTGTCCGATTGCCTAGAGAGGAATCGGCCGAATTTTTTATCTGTTTGCCATAAACCAAATTATATTTCAAGTTTTTTTTTTAATTTGGCTTTTTAAATTATAACGACGAATATTCGGAATTAGATGATTTCGAATGTAGTATTTTTCTCCCTGCTCCGTTCGTGTTTTGGGGATATTGGCTGTATATTGAAATGCGGTTGTAGTCTAAACTTCGTTGCATTCAAGATACAACTGGCGACAATCAATACCAGAACGACCTCGACGACCGGCTTCATAGAACTGTTCAAAAGTGCCTCCCGATTGTCTTTCTAATACGAAACTTGCTGCATATCTGAAAAGAAAGAA